AATATAGTAATAGTAAAATACAAACTAGTAAATCAAATCCTTACACAAACACAGACTACTACTAATTATTCTATTACTAAGGAACATCTTTACTAGTAAGATTGTAAAGGGGCTAGGCAATAGTACTAAAGTCTTAAATAAAGTGTTAGTAGTAGTTTACAAACCTAAGAAATACTTAGACCTGTTTCAGGTTCTAAGGTTATAACCAGTTCCAAACTACAGTTACCTTTACTAGATCTATGTAGACCTCTCCTCCACTAATTACAAAGCTTAGATAATCTACTGACTCCTGTGTAAAAGAGTACTTTACTTTTTAGAGGAACAGTTTATTATCTTAGAGCTGTTATAGAACTACTCAGATTAGTTAGTAATAGTACTTAACTGTTTGGGTAAAGATCAGAATATTGTCCAGATACATACTAACATGTTCTGAGTTAATCAGATCTACAAGAATATAATTCATAAATGACTAGAACATTGTAAGTGAGTTAGTTAGTCTAAAGAATATTATAGTCAGTTTGTACAATCTGTAATTAGTTTAGAACATAGTCTTCTACTCATTTCTGTCTTAAATCCAAATATTATTGTATTCCTATCAAATGTCTAACTTAGTAAAAACCCTGGATGTATGTGTCTTATTAATAAGCTTCTGAATCAGAGGGAGTAAGTACTTGTTTTTAACAGTACCCTTATTAAGACAACAATAATTCTAAACTAGGTAGAGCTTCTCATCTTTCTTTTTAACAAAGAAGAAAGGGGAGGCTATAGAAGACTTTAAGGGTTGGATCTAACTGTTCTAAAGATTTTCCTAAAGGAACTTATTAAGTACCTCCTACTTGTCTCTGTTAAGTAGGTAGACCTTACAATCTTTGAGTTAGAAACTCTTGGTCAATTCAATTACATAGTCTTAGAGACAGTGTTTAGGAAGCTAGTTGAATTCCTCTTTACTAAAGACTTTAAGGAACTCTCAGACAAAATCTAGTAGGCTGGGTTTATATACATTCTAGAATAGAGTCATTCTAAGAGAGTTCTAAACTGGTTCTGTCTTAAACATCCTTTAGATTGACTCTATTCTGTCTTAACTAGAATATGTATCTATATATTTATCCTAGTTAAAGAGGAACAACTAGTCACCTTCCTTAGAACTGTTAGTAACATTAGAAGTGTTTGTATCTACTTAGAATAGTAGTATAAGGTAGTCACAAGACTTAGGACACTGATTGAACACAAGTGTCTACTCTAACTAGTCAATAGTAGGGTTGTAAGTCTTAAGCCATTTGAATCTAATAAAAATGTCTGTCTTTCTAAGGTTAGTAACTCTGAACTTGATACTTTCCTTATAATCCTAAATAGTCATCTGTAGTTGGACAAACTTAGTGATTCAACTATTCTAGTTTAGAGTTCTGTCCACATTGTATACTAGGATTGAAAGTAGAACACATTAAGTAGAGAGGTAGTGTTTCTATATAAAGGCCTTATTAATACACAAACTAGTGTATCTACTGTCTACTAGAGTTATTGTTCAGATCTGGGAGGATTCTAAGAAGAGAGCTAAGAGGACAGGGACCTAGAGCTAGTATCTAGAATGTTCTCTAATAAACTACTACTTGTTCTGAAGAGAATGTACAGCTTGTACAGTCTTATTGTTTAAGAGGGTAAGTATATACACTAACATTTCCTTATTAACCTCTCTCTTTCAATAAGGATAGACTTATGTTCTTAACTGTGAACTCAGCTGAGACTATCCCTACTTAATACTATAGACAAACTACTGAGTAGTAAATAGGGCTGAGTAGTGTTCTGAACATTCTAAGATTTTGAAACACAGAAGTAACAAGTTGGATTGTACAGATTTAGACTTGAATGAAGTGTGAAGAGAAGAATCAAAAGAATCAGAAGAAATAGGAGAACTATCTACTTTT